AACCCTGAACCCTGAACCCTAAACCCTAAACCCTGAACCCTGAACCCTGAACCCTAAAACCCTAAAACCCTGAACCCTAGACCCTAGGACCCTAGGACCCTAGGACCCTAAACCCTAAACCCTAAACCCTAAACCCTAAACCCTAAATTACAAGTCCAGAATCTCAAAGCATTGACACAATCATGGATACCAGCTGAATCATATGAATCCAAGTATATCATAACAACTCAAAGCAACACATTCAATCTATGAAAAAAAAATGATCTCGTGAAGGTTAAAAAAATAAACAGATAAACAATACATACAATCACAAGATTGAACATTTAAATCTTAAAAGAGAGTAACAACTTGTGGTGATTGGATAACTATATATTTTTGTCACAGCAGAGTATCTAATAATCAAGAAGATGATATTGCTCGCCATTGAAAAAACACACAGAAACTCAGGACACCAATTCAAAAGAAGATAACATCAAATTTGACTAGTACTCATACATAAAATGTAGACTAAACAACCTGTAATCTTGATATTGATTATCTAAAGTTATAATGAAAAAATTAATAGCATGGAAAGGTGGAAAGACGGGAAAACACAACAAATATTATCATTAATGCAACACCTCATTTTCGGCGATTGGAAAAAAAAAACACGCCAATCACACNATGAATTACCTAATTACCAAAAAAAACACGCCAATTTCAACAATAGTAGCAACTCATATAAGCAATTCAACCTCAAACTACACAAAAACATTTAATTAAAACTTCATCCACCATTCCTAAACAATCAACCAAATGAATGCCACCAATGAAACAACATTCACCTCCCAACTGCTGCACATATAAGTACAAACTTGGACTAAAACCTACCCCAAGACAATTAAATCATACATGCAATAGATGTTCGCCCACACACACACACACAGACCAAATCTGAAGCACCAAGGCCTTACCCAGTAGGGAGGTCGCAGATATAGGTGAGAAGCATCTTCAGCTTTGACCTGCCTTCGGAGGCCAAGCCCGCATGCATCTCAACCACCTGGCGCGTGCGCCACCACACAGGGGTGGCGCATCCCTCATCCTGTCAAGAAGCCCTACCTGTTCAAGGATAATGCTTTACACCTGGCCTGCCTTAATGATTCTTAAGAAATGCGGAATTCACTATCATTCCAATTGCAGTAGTGTTTTCAATGGTTTCAATCTGATTTTCATAAATTTGGATTGAATCAAAAAGTCAATTCATGAACCAAATACCAGAAACATTGAGATAAATTCTATTTTAACAACATTGAACACCAACATGAAATCAGAATTTGTAAAATACAGAAAACTAATAGATAAATGGAATTGTACATTAGGTGCTTGCATATATTTGACATCAACTTAACATAATCTGTAACATTTATTGACCTCTAGTATTTGTCATATCAATACAAATTCAATGAAGGGATCCTGTATTAAGAGAAGCAGCAAAATGCATACACGAGGCTGAAATTAACCCAAGTACAGAGAATATACTTATCTAGCCATTTCACCACACCAAAACAGCAACATAAAAAAATAAGAAAAAATGGCTACATAAAAACAGACCTCAACTCAACTTAATGAGCAATGTTGTGTAAGCCCTAGAAGCCATACGAGCAACCTCAGCTTGCATATGAATGGCCCTCTCTTCTGGGGAAGAATCCATGAGCCACATGATGACGGGGATGTTGTAGGTGACGCCCTGGAAGAAGATTGGGACGGTGCCGTGGCCTGGAGGAGGTTGACCGTCGTTGTGGGTGAAGACGGCGGTCTTGGGCTGCAGGGAGGGGTAGGTCTCGATGAGGTGCGTGGTGGCGGATGTGACACTTCTCCTCCACGTACGGCAGGACCGTCGGCACCCGCTGCGAGAGGACGCTGAAATGGGCATCCAAAATTTCCAGTTCCCACAAACGATGAACAGGCGGAGCGTGTGGAACAGAGCCTCTGTTTATCTGTATATCTCGATTGCTGTTCGGATTAACAGGCGGCGCGTGTGTACACGAAATGCATCTTGTAACGGTAACCCTTCCTGACGCCGTTGATCAGATTAGTGACGTGGCTGAGCGCCGTGCGAATGGCGACGGCTGTTACCCGGCTGCTAAACCAGGCGTTCACCTTCAGCTTCTTCTTTCCGGTGGCCTCGTCGGTGATGAGATAGAAATAGAAATCGAGGTTCAGGTGGGCGTAGTGTGCGTGTGAGAGATGTAGAGGCTAGAGAGAGAGGCGGGTGTGCGATTATGGCTGCACGAAGAGAGCATTTAAAGGAGAATGGGGCGAAACCCTAGATTAGTGATGGGCTTCATTTGGGGCATATTTTATTGGTTAGTAGTTTGGGCTTATTTTTTTGTACCACTTAGCCCATTATCTAGAGTTTAATATGAAGTCCAATTAATTGCTTGTTTCTAAATTTTTTTAGCTGTTAAATTATTACTAGTACGAATCTATGGGTAAAAAGTATTAATTAATATTTATAAATTAAAATTATTCATTAAATAATTTTTATAAATTATAAATATAGAATCAATATATAAATTAAAATTGTTGCTGGGCTGCGACGTAGGAAGGATGAGGCTCCCTGTTGCTGCTCGTTCTGCCGAGAAGGGAGGGAGACGACGGGAATTTTGAGGAGGAAGGAGATGAGGGGCGATTTGCAGAGTTCGGGAATAAGAAATGAGATGGCGGCTCTCTCTCTCTCTCTCGCTCTCGGCTTTAATAGAGGAGAGAAAATTAGGGCTTCGCCAATAAGGTTACTTAGGCTACTGTTGGACCTAAAAATTAATAAGTATGGGCCGGTTTGTACACTAAAGATAGACCAAAAAATAAGATAACTAGAAAGGACCAAAAAGTAATCAAGTTATTTTATTTACATAACAAGCCTTGACAGTGAAAATTCAATTTTGAAGCGGAAAAAAAACGACTGAAATAACGTGTATTAAGGTACACAAAAATATACAAAATAAAAACATTTATAAACAATGGTTAAATTGGCTCGAACAAAATTTATTTTGCCACATTACACCATTATTTAATGTATATTACAAGTTTTAATGGTAAAAAATCAATTTTAAAATAAAATAAAAATAACTGAAATGGTGTGCACTAAGGTATATGAAAAAAAAAATATGTAGCCACAATACATTATTGTTTAATGTATATTACAAAACAGAATGGTAAAAATTTAATTTTGAAATGGTAGAAAAACTATGGAAACACATGTAATAAGGTATACAAAAAAATTAAAAAACAAAAAAAATCATAAATAATGGTTAAAAAGACTCAAACAAAATTTCTTTTACCACAACAAATCATTATTTAATGTACATTACAAATTAGGATGATGACAATTCAATTTTGAAACGGATAACAAATGACTGAAAAGACGTGTACTAACGTACACAAAAAAATTCAACAACGAAAAAACTCATAATAAAAAAGGCTCAAACAAAGTTTCTTTTGCCGCAATACACTATTATTTAATGTATATAACAAACTTTGATGGTGAAAATTCAATTTCAAAATTGAAGAATTAAGGTACACGAAAAAATTCAAGTACAAAAAAACTCATAAATAATTATTAAAAATGCTCAAAGAAAATTTTTACCACAATACACCATTATTTAATGTGCATTACAAAATTTGATGGTAAAAAATCAATTTTGAAATGCCATAAAAATGACTGAAATGACGTATATTAAGGTACACGAAAAAATTCAAAAATGAAAAACTCATAAACAATGGTTAAAAATGTTGAAACAAAGTTTTTTTGGCCATACCACACTATTATTTAATGTATATTACAAACTTTGAAAGTGAAAATTTATTTTTGAAACGAAAAAAATACGACTAAAAGGGAGTGTTTTATTCTTTTATACCTAAGTTCCGAGCTTACGTTTAGACTAATCTTAGACCACCAAGAAACCAGCCCTACAAACAACTCTTTATTAAAGTAAATCAGAGTCGCCCACGTGTCTCTCATGTGCTTCACCCAGCTTGTACACTATGCGGACAAGGAGTCGACCCCCAACTAAATATAAATTAAAATTTTGTTTTCATGGGAAACTGGTCTAAAGAGTAGATAAAGAACTAAAACATTGGGTTCAATAAAAAAAAAGATTATATGCCACATAAATAATAAACTTAGTGTGAAAAAATATATTCTCCAATGTAAGTATAAGTAAACTAGATCCTACTAATGTGACAGCAAGGAAAATAGACTCGATTTACATTTAAGTCTATTTTTATATTGTTTTATTCATGTCATCTAGGACTTGATTTTATCTACAGATTTACACTTAAGTCTATTTTTATATTGTTTTATTCATATCATTCAAGACTTGAATTTATTTACAGGCCAGGCAAAACTAGACTCAAAGCATTGTATATGCTCATAACCTTCACTTTCACAGGCAATGAAAGATCCTGTACCTTAAGCTTTATTCATAAAAAAACACCAATGCAATTTTCCTACCATATTAGATCCAGCTTATAGAAGAGAATGCCCATTTAACTTGAAGCCTCTAAACTCTAATCCAACATTAGACATACACACTTGACAGTTTGACACACTCTCATTTCCAGGCACAAGAAACCACCAAATCCCTATTCAACCAACCAAGATACAAGGCTCCATCTCTTTCCTCCACTCTATACCTACCACAATGGCTTTTCAGCAATCGCTCAATGGTAGCGTTAACCAGACGATTCAACGGGATTCGGCTAAAACCAGCCTTCTCAAACTGCAAACTCCACTTCCTGAGCAGCTCGTGCCTTTCCACTCTCTCGCTCCCCTCACAGGCTATCACATTCACAACGTCCCTTGCCAGGCAGTGCTGCTCGACGTTTATCCGCTCCTTGTCTTCCCTGGGGAGTGCCACGTCGATCGACTCGAACATGGCCGAGTAGTAATCCAACGTCTCCATAAATCGAGGATACAATTCGGCCGTGTTGGTGTTGCTTTCTTGCTCAACCAGCGTCACCACCTTCGGATTCACACTTCTCACCATCCTCACCATCCTTTCCTGATGGTTTTCGGGGATTCGGTGCAGAAAGAAAGCGAAATTCACGGCCAGGGCTTCGCCAGGTCGGATCGCGAGATTCTCGACCCGAGCCTCGCTGCCGGGTTTAGCTGCAGCGTGAAATTCAAACGGGACTTTGAGTTTCTTGGCAAGCTTGGACAGCCTGTGCCCGACGATATTCGGCCCACCTCCACGTGCATAGGCCGACCTGAAATCGTCAAAGCCCGTTATCCGAATACGGGGAGGCCCACCGGGCCGAATAGCAAAGGCTTGGATGAGAGGCACCCATTGGCTCCCTTGGCCTATCTGGAAGTCGATGATGTGAACCCGACTCTCGACCTTCATAGCCTCGGCAATGGCACCATTCGCCGCCATGTGGCCAAATTTGAAATAAGGGCATGCCTCGTAAACAACATGCATGCAAGTCAGAAGCTCGGAACTCGCGGGCTCCCGAAACTTAAGAGATTTGTAGATGGAACTTCCAGAAGCACTCAGCCTAGCCACGAGTCCTTCGAGCATGTATGCCCCCAGGCGCTGTAAAGGATCGCCAAAAACGGACACGAGCTGACGTAATTCTGACACCAGCCACTGCGCCATGACCAAATCATTGTTCGAGACTGCCATGCAACATGCGATGAGCACCTGCTTCAGGTCCCGTCTAGGTATGGCATCCATTATCTGTCTCCAGCTGTCAATCTCCACCTCGTCCTGAGTTTTGCCAAAATCGAGATCAGGCCCCAACATCACAGTCTCCAGCTCCTTCAGCTTGTGCTTCAGTACATTCGCATCCTCGACAGCCGAGCAATGGTTTGTGCACGGGGATTGAGACTGAGATTCTTGCTGAGACAATGAGGTATCGACACTCAATGAGGACGATTCAAGTGTACAATAACGATGTTGAGATACATTAATAGAGTAGCCATTTTCATCAGTGATGTTATTGCAGGCCAGGAGCTGGGGATTTAAAGGTTGGAGAGAGTAGACCTCTAACTTCCGGACGGGGCTATTATAGCATAGTGTCTCGGGCATGCTTGATCTGCTATGATGTTGGGATGTTTGCATTTGAATTTATTAAACACCCTTCCACTGCTGAGAAATTTGACAAAAAAAAAAATCAGTGCACTATGCAGAATTAAAAACGAAAAAGAAAAAAAGAAATCTTCAAAAATAGATAGAAAGAAACTGACTAGATATGATGATTAAATGTTCAAAAGACAATTTGTCGGTTAATATTGATCGATTCCATCATAAGGCCGCACAATCTAAAGCAATTTCTTCTTGACCCGCTAGAAATCAGGACAAATACAGAATTTCAAATATGAAAGTATCACCACTCTTATAGGTCAACCACCACAATTCTTCCAGTAGAGCCAACGTAAACCACCGAATGTTGGTGTGGCCCATTACAGCTTGACAGGGCTGAATTGACTTCATTACCAAGGACAAAAGCAATTAAGTTGACTTCTATTCTCCTTCCACAAGTGAGAGTTCTACAGAAGCATCCCAAACAATGACACTGGATTTAACACTTCATTTTATGGAGATAATTAGAATCATTCATCAGCCCATTACTAAAATTAATCATAACAGAACCAAAGACATAAAAGATCATCCATCAGCCCAAAAACTAAAAATGGCCAACAATATGTAACAGAAGGAAATCACGTGCACACATAGAAGACAGAGAGACAGTGAGGAGCTGAAGATCAAGATTTAATCTTTGGTACAGTTAAGCTGAATGGCATAAACTATTTGGATCTTACCTTCAATCCACCGCTCGAACTCAAGAGAAATACTAGAAAACCTTACTCCAAATGCAACCCCAAAGTCAGATAACCCACAAAAGGCTTAAATAAATTAAATTCTCAAAATTTAGCGCGTAAAGTTCCCTCGTCTGAGAGATTCACGCATTTCAGCTAAAATCGAAGCAGCACCATTAAATACTGTTTAAAAAAATACCTAAACAAAGCACATTCATCAATTTACTACTTGCACCTGATAATCTTACACAGCACCAAACATTAGACTATAAATTTCAAGAATAAATTCAAGAACAGAGGTTTATAGCTACGAATTTCTAAATCCTTTTCATGTTTTTCACCCACACCTACCTTAAAGTTGAATTCCCACAGTCGTAAACACTGTGTAGGCTACTCCCAAGAACCAGTTTTTTAAGTTCGAAAAGACAGGGCATCAGAGGTCTGTCAAGTGAAAGAAAGCTAGCTCTAATTATTATTATTATATATAAGAAAAAAATGTAGAAGTAATAAACCCTGGAATTTGGGTAGAATCACCACACTGCCACTGAGGATTATAGTGTAATATGGACATCATGTGGCAGGCACTGTGACTGTGAGGCAACTTCAACTTGTGCCTTGTGGTGTGACGGTGTGACCGTTTGAGTATGGAAGTCCTAGTTCAAAATGAAAATAAATAAACGAATAAATAAAATGAATTAATTAGGAACTTTCACTGATCTCATGTTAAATTTTAAACGCTCATAGATTTCACTGACCTTGTGTTTACCACTTAACTCAGTGATCCTACTATTGATATGGAATAAATAAATTAGGCACCTTGAAAGTAGGGTAATTATGAGTAATTAACTAGCATAATTACTAATTAGCATGTGAATAATTATTTGTAGTTTTAGGCCAAGTAGTCTCATAATACATTTAAATTGTATTTCATTTCATGTTTCATTTTCCTTATATGAATACCACGTGTCTATAGTAATTTTAATATTTTACATGTGTTATTCATTCAGGAAAATAAAGATAAAATAGAACATATTCTTTAATATTATTTTTTTGTTCCCAAATATGATGGGGAACTTGAATTCATATAACAATCATAGATACATTCTTTAGATAACCATTGAATTTATGAAGATATTTATATTAATCATACAAGAATATATAATGATTGTAGACTGATTAATTATTTTTGTTGCTTGAAGTTTGAACTTGGAATAGTGAAAAGGGTGGGGTGATATATAAGGGAGATATGGGACTGATGTAAAAAAGTAGATATTTTTGGTTTTAAGATAGAAAAATGATGTGGAAAGTGAAATTCGCATGTCACTCCAAAGGGCATTCTTTATTTTTGCTTAGCTCCTAAGACCTAGAGGACCTATGGTGCCGTGGAATGGAGCTGTTTGGGACTTGTGTAATACACTCAAGCATTCCTTCATCCTTTGATTGGGAGTGCGTAACCGTCTCCGAACAAGAGACCGTCTCGAATTCCTTGAGGAAGACCCGATATGCCCTCTATGTGGAGTTGCGAATGAATCTTCGAGCCATTTATTTTTTGAATGTACCTTCAGCTTGGAGATTTGGGGTGAGATTCGTTCTTGGGTTAGCCTCCGACATAGACCGTCTACACTCAAAGGAGCTCTCAAATGGATAAAAAATGAGGCGAGAGGGAGTGGTTGGCAAACCAAGTTGAAGAAAGCGGCGCTCGCGGCCACCGTATATTTTATTTGGAATGCTAGGAATCAGTTGGTGTTTGAGAATGAATACCAAGGCCCGAGCCTTGTAATCCACAAGGTAAAATCCATGTCTGTCGAACTATTTTTGCAACTTATTCGAATGTGCTTGTTGAATTGGAGAAGAGGTGCCTTGGGCTTTGAGACGCATTTTGGGTGCTTGAGCATTGAGGTTATGAGGTGGTCGAATGGCCTTCGAGAATGGTTGTTTGGAAAGGGAACACAAGGTGCACAACCTGCCAGCCGTGCGCAGATTCTTGCGAAATAGCTAAGTCGCGACTTTTTCGGTCACGAGTCGCGACTTCATATCTAATGCCACACATACGGCATTTTCGCGAGTCACGACAAGCAAGTCGCGAGTCGCGACTTCCTGCTCCCAGGAGAATCGCGAATTATTCACGAGTCGCGACTTCATACCTGATGATGCACTTCGTCTCTGTTATTTTCGTGAGCCGCGACTATCGACTCGCAAGTCGCGACTGAATCTCGTGAATGGCGACATCATGCTCCCATTCATCATGCTCCCCGGTGAGTCGCGACAATTATTCGCGAGTCGCGACTCATGGCCGCGAGTCCTGATGAAGCTCATTCGTCTCTGTTATTTTCGCGAGTCGCGACATCATGCTCCCAAGCGGCTAGATTTTCGCGGTTTGAAGAGGCTCGACGTTATAAGTCGCGAGTCGCGAGTCGCGACACCAAGTCGCGAGTCGCCACTGCATACCTAATACTACACCCCATGTTTTGGGCTTCTTTGGATCCCTATGTTTGCACTTTGTTTCTAGTGATATGAGAGTGACCAACTGACTTGTGGTTGGTCTCGTATAATTTACCTTGAGAATGAGGAACCGACTTGTGGTTGCCCATTTTGTTTCTGTATGCAGTCATCCGGTTGTCCGATATATTTTTAGAAATATACATTTACATTTAACGATAAAAAAAACACAAAAATACTATACATAGTGCTCGTCTTAAGATCATAATAGGGAAGCATTTAATTAATTATCATTTAATTAATTATACAATCTTGATGGACGTAGAAATATATATCAATTAATTTGAGAAAGAGACAAGGTTTAGGATTGTTTTTGTAGTAAATAAAAGAATATAGTTCTGTTGCAGCATAAAGAAAAATCAGAAATTCGGAATAGCGAAATTCTCCACAAATTTGTAACGGGATAAAAGCACAGAGTGGTGAGAAAAAGAAAAATGCCGTTCTCTTGTCTCCTTTTTNTTGTTGAAAAAAGTCACTTGGTTTCAGCCACTTGTTATCAGATGGATTTTTCACAAGTTAACATGATTTCTGTTAGTTTGAATTTTGAAATATATATATCTATACTTATATAATAAGAATTAATATTTATCCAAAGTAGTAGGTCAAATTATGGTCAATGTCGGATTTGAATTAAATATTTTTCAAAACCGGTAAGTTTTTTTCGTTTTCACACTTCTCATTAATTATGTCATTTTCACACTTCTAATAAATTATGTCCTTTTCACACATCTAATTAAATCATTCCATATGAGCTTTTATCGTTAAAATGTATAGCAATCTGTTATGACCTTATCCCATTGGTATTTCCATGAAGCGTCCTTATCGCGTTCTATTTTTTGGTAACCACTCTATATCAATAACCGGATATTTGGTTAATGATAGCACACGTCTTTATTTCAAGGAGCGGATATTCTTTGACCTTTAATTAATCTAAACTGATTGTCTTGATTTTTCAATTTTTAAAAACTCTTTTTTTAAAAACTCTTTTTTTATCGCACGTTGGTCTTTTCCTGAAGAAACCCGTTTTTAGTCACGGTCAATTATATGTTGCTGCTTCGCGTGTAAATAATAAAAGGGGTTGAAAATATTAGTTTGTGATAATGAGGAGTTACCAAATAATCAAACTCATAATGTTGTGTACAAAGAGGTTTTTAATAATTTATGATTGTTACCCAACTTTTTATGATTCAACAATGTTCATATGTATTTTAATGATTTCAATTTCGATCCTAATGCACGGGAGATTATATTATTCTTCCAAATTTTACATCATGTGCATCGCACGAATTACGTACTAGTATATCATATATATCATTTGCTTTACAAAATGTACTAAACAAAATAATTATAAATTCCTCCATGTTTATCTCGAATCTAAAGAAGATTAGCTAACTTATAATAATGTATTTGAGTGGAACTTCGAGTTTCCAACCCGATAAATAGTTAAAGTGGTTAATTAATAATTATATGACAAAATAGTTATTTAGTCCAAGTGCTGCATATGATATTGTTGTCTAATGTCAAAATGTTCATACTCATATACACGTACGTACATAAGACAATTGTTTCTAACTATTTGACGGGTCAACATGTCATACTATTTAACAAAAAAAAAATTGTTATTAAAATAATTATGAACAAATTTGTTGCAATTTCATTGCTATTTAATAATAATTAATTTCTTTGCTAATACAATTATGAACAAATCCGTTACATTTTCGTTGATGTTTACTAACAGAATAATTCCTTTGTTATTTAGCAGCATAATTTTCTGTTGCTAATACAATTAAGAACAAATTCCTA